AGACATTGAGGTCAGGCTGACAGGCCTAGAGTTTCCCGGGGGTGTCTTATAATATCATAATTATTATATGTCTGTATAATAATTATATTGCAAAATACAGAAAATTATATTATAGAATTATAGTTATGATTCTAATGTTATATAAGTATATATAATACATAACATTATTTCTTGCTTATATAAATCTATAAAAGATACGTATAAATGTCTATAAAATATTCCAATTTAGGCTTTAAACAATCCCAGTCCTGTTTATAACTCAGAGCTATCCAGCAAATAAAAAAATGGAAGGAAAACAGCAGAAGAAATTTAAAAATCCTAGACAGACACTTCCTAGATTTACACCAATGGGACAGTCTCAGCCCAGAGTGCAAAACAAAACAAAGTATTTCAATCATTTCTAAAAACATATTATTTAAGGCCATTTACTGCCCAGAAGTCCCATTTAAAATGTGCTTTATACAGTACAAGCTTTCCTGGGCTGCTGTTTATCTCTCAGCTAATCAGTACAGGACCTGGCATGTTCCCAAGTGCATCTGTGTGAAAAATATGTGGCTCTGGGCACACTTTCCTTAACTGTCAGCTGTCAGCTAACATGGGGCTAACCCCAGATCCTCCAAGATGTTCTCTCCCATCAGGAGTTAAGCACTGCTTACCCTTTGCTGCCATTTACATCAGCACTGTCAGCCTGAGAAAATATCCAGTACAAGTCCCGTGTTTCCCCCACTATTACCTCACAGATTCCCCATTTCCACTTCAAATTGCATTTGCAGCTTAAACTGATGTGGACCTGTCAAAGGAGGGAAGGAAGAGGAGGATTCTTGTCAATGCTACTGACTTGCTAAGGATGTTTTCCAGAGAATCTGCTGCTCTGTTGAGTGGCTCTTCCTGCCCAACCATCTTGGCTACAATGGAGTTCTGCCGGTCATTGTTGAGGATGACTGTGGTCTGAGGGACAACGCTAGGAGACAAAAAGCAGAGAGGAGAACAGAATGTAAAGGAGCAAAAACCTTATAAATAACACACTGACACAGCTTGATGGGTTAAATAGCCCAGAGATGGCCTCAGAGCCTTCCCCCTTCCTCAGCATCGTCGTCACGGATCTAACGCTAATGCTGGTGATCCATCGAGCTTGACACCTACACCATTTCAGGTCCTTTGAGCTGTTCAGAGGATGGATGGATGGCTTCAGAGGAATTATGGAAAAGACCAGGACCCCTAGCAAAGCAATCAAGAATTCATCAATTCAAGACAGACAGGAGGAAGTCTGTAAATCACAGCTCCCGAGTGCCACAAAAGTGCTTATTTGAAGAGTCTGAGTGAGCATTTTCTGAGGTAGTACAGCCAACTGAGGTGGTAATACAGCAGGTTTAGTAGGAACTCCTAGGAAAAAGAAAATTTGAAAGCATTTATTGCAAAATTGGATGATGAGCTTGGTTAAAAGGCATGTGTGGTCTTCCAGGGCAGGGGCTTGAGAAGGGCAGGGGATGAGAGCACCAACAGGGCCTGAGTGTTACTTTATATAAAAACAAGACTAAGTTATTTCTTTCAACAGGGCCTGAGTGTTACTTCATATAAAAACAAGACTAAGTTATTTCTTGCTTGCATTTCACATCTAAAAAAATCTGAAAAGAAACAACAGAAAAGCATTTCAGTGTGTGAGAAACCAGGAAACCTTCTCTGTCACTCATGATGACAACGTAAGAAGGAAGTAAGTAATGCTAAGCCTACACTATGCTGTAAAAGTAAATATGAAGTGTCTCCACATGCAGATTGTCATTTATCTGTCTTCAGAGATTACTAACATTATTCCCACACCATTACTCAGTATCTGAGGTGTGGGTTTGATAGTTCAGACTGTTCCTGCTGTGCTCATGGTGCGCTTCAGAGAACACTTGTGCTTCAGTGACAGAGGAGGCTTTCCTCTTCAGTTCCCTCTAGTCCACTCTTGCTTTTACTGATCCAACATCTCAGACATGACTGATGGACATTTATTTTTCCTAACTGTATTCCTTGGCTAATTCTTCAAACACAAATTAAACAAATCTGATGACAGAAACTGTGTTTACTTGAGCTAAACAGAGCACATGCTCAGCTTGAACATTCATGTGTCTACATAAGACCTGAAGCACTAAATTACCCATTGTTAAGGCTCAGGGAAAGCTCAGAACCTGTCAAGGGCTAACAGAGAACTGCTCTCAACTTTGGCACAGACAAAATGGGTGACCACAGGTTTTCTGGCTACAAAAAGCCCTAGGGCCTAATGCCCTGCCTCCCTCTTACAGTAACAGCATCTGTTGCTAGCAACATATGGGATTCCTCATGGACTGCCAACGAGCTGCTGGACTGCAAACCTGGAGAAGCTCTGGAAGATGTTTGGCTAAGGACAGACAAGTACAGACTGTACTAGAGCTCTTCGTGTGCACGTGAGGCTCAGAGTTTAGTAAGCAATACATGGGGGTGTCTTTTGGTTTCCTTTGGTTGCTGCTGAGAGTATCAGAGTTCCGGATGCTTTCTCAGTCACCTTTTCAAACTCTTCTCCATTATCAAAGGGAAAAACACCTACCTATTTTTCACTTAATAAGAGAAAAGGCAACTTCTGTTTGTTTTCTCAATGCCAGCACTGAACATCTTACACAAACCCACCAAACCCCTGAGAAAGCAGTGCCACGTGGCAGTGCTGGCAGCCTCCGGTCCAGCAGTAATGTGTGTTCTCCTTACACTTCCCAAACTGTCCAAACAGCTCCACTGGAAGTTTCTACAGGCCAGTTTCAAGTGTTCAAGTATTTTACACTTGCTTTCAGACACTGTTCTTTATCAGCATCTTCTTTGCAATCACTTCTGAATGCCTGTTTAAAATGTCACTTACCAAAGCTTATTTTTAATGAAGACTCTGAATAATTAATTTCAACTGGACAGATAAATGCAATAAAATTACATTTAGAAAGTCCTTAAAGTTCTGCTCTTATTAAGTTTATATTTGAAAAAAAAGTCTTAGCACTAAAAATTGGCATAAAATAAGGAAGAAGTTGGGGGGGTTGCTTTTTTTAGGAATGTTTGATTCTATGAAGTTGCTCAATTCTTTCTCAGTCTTAAAGAAGGAATTTCTTCTGTTTAATGCTTAACTCCTGAAGAATGGGGCTGTCAAAGATGTCTACATGAGGGACAGGAGGAGGAGGAGGAGAAGGGGAAGAAGAAGGAGAAGGAGAAAGAAACATTCCCATAGCAAACATCCTAAATGTCAACCAGGAAACTAAGATTCTGGTCCATGTTCTGTGTAGAACAAAAACGGATAAAGAATTTCTTGCAAATCCTGACAATGTGGCATCACTGAGGCAGATATTTTTCAGGGCTGATGCTGTAACACTTGAGCAGTTCCTTAACTGGGAGAAAAAGAAACAATTGAGACGAGCAGAGAAAGGCCTCACTGTGCTTGAAAATGGGTTTCACAGGGTTGTTTTAGACTGCAATTTGTACATGGGAAAAATGGATATCCACAGGATTCCCTGCAGATCACAGAATCACTTAGGTTGGAAAAGAGCTCTGAGATCAAGGAAAACCTGTGACCCATCACCACCTTGTCAGCCAGACCAGAGCACTGAGTGCCACATCCAGTCGTTCCTTGAACACCTCCAGGGATGGTGACTCCACCACCTCCCTGAGCAGCACATTCCAATGCCTGACAGCCCTTTCCATGAAGAAATTCCTCCTGATGTCCAACCTGAACCTCCCCTGGCACAGCTTGAGGCCATTTCCTCTTGCTCCCTGGGAACAGAGCCTGACTCCACCTGGTTGCACCTCCTGTCAGGGAGCTATAGAGAGAAATAGGGAATTTGCTTCCCGTTGACTTCCCTGTGAAGTGTCCTAGTCTCTGTTTCCAGATTTCTTTAGAAATCTGCTGAATGTACACAAAACTAAACATGAAGTCTGCCTAAAATCAAAATACTGGGCCAACCTGACAAAAATCCATCAGTGGAATTCATTAAACTCTCTACAGCCAAGTGCATCCACATACAGGATTATTTCACTATCTTTTTTCGGCCTGTCCATCTCTCACTGAAGATTAAACAACTTTAATCATTCCTTATGGACTAAAACACAGAGAAGGTCACAAAGAAGGGGAAGAGAAGCTTCTGATATTCACTCAGCTCCAAAGTGATGCAATTCTTTCTATGAGAGCTGCCAGCACTCATGGAGAAGATGGAAGGAAAATATTCCGGGGGTCAGGGGGAGTGTTCCACAAACCCAGAGTGTCTGCACAGCCTTCAGAACTTTCCACTTGTGCTCACATATTCCTTTCCCCATAAGCATTAGGACTTGGAGAGACTGGAGCTGCAATTTGCCTGTTCTTGGACACAACCAAGTAAAACAATTTAAATTCATGGAATCTACATATTGGGGGATTTTTTAATGCAATTACTGAATAATCTGCTAAATTACGGGTGAAAACATCTCTTACAAAATAAACACATCAATTAATGATTTTTTTGTGTTCGTTTATCATATTTTAGCCTCTTATTTTTCTGTTAAATACAAAAGGGCATTCTATATTTTGCATAAGACAATTTCTGCCAAAGGTCATTTTCAGTCTGGAAAACGTGTGAGTCAGATATGATCGTTAATCTTAATGGTTGGGGTTCCCTTGCCAGTAACCCGCCAATCACACAGAATGCAGCCAATGACACCACACAACTCTTGGCAACATCAGGACCATCTTCTCCTCCTCTTCCCAGATGAGCTTTGCATTCAGAGGCAAAAGGAAATAACTGATGTTTCTACCTTCCACAAGGTACAGGGTCAAAAGTGTTTCTCCAAATGAGTGAAAATTACTTGTGGAAAACCTTGGAGCAAAATTTTCAGACAAGTTCTTGTTCTCTGAGACACACTCACATGGACCAGTTGATGGTGCAGCAGAGGAGATGGGAAGGCAGGAGCTGGAGTTCCTGCTGGCAGACTCGTCATGCTGAAGGTCTCCAGCCAAACACAGCCCTAAGGAAAGCAAGTCTGAGAAAGAGACCTTGAACACTGGTATTTTCCAGCTTGCTGCTGGGGATGGACACAAAGACCTAAATGCAGAGCTCACACATGTGTGGGAGCTCTAGAGGAATAGCACAATTAGACCCACCACAAAGCAAATCTAAATGTTGTTCAGATTACATAGAAAATAAAGTTTTAGAAGGGTGGTGTTTGTCTTATTATTTTTTCTGTTTTATCTTTCACTAGCACTCGTGTTCAGCTGTAGGAACAGCCACTCTTTGCATCTTTCCATCTCTGTTTAGGAAGATAATGTTAAAATGCTCCTTCCTCCTGATGGCCACCTGCTTCCTTTGCCTTCTGCACACACAGTTAAGTATCCTCTATCCAAACAGGAATGAGAAAACTGACTAATGACTTTACACTGAAATATACATGAACAAAACCACAAATTGGCAAATATACAAAATTACATTGGATTTATGCCCAAAAAAATAATGCAGCTCATTAAGAAAGCAACTTGCCAACAACCACACCATTCCCCAAGCAGGTGGGCCACCTGCTGCAGGACTCAAGGCTGTGTGGGCACCTCAACAGTTAAAGTTTTCATGTCCCTGAACTAGTCATAGCCAATTGCCAAAAAAGCAGCAGTGCCATCCATCATTCTCAGCAAGAGTTCAAACATCAAAAATTATCTTTGGATGCTCTGCCTCCGGAGCATCAGCCCAGAGCAGACATTATGAGGCAGCCCTAACGATGAGGGCCTACAAGCCAAAGTACACCAGGCCTCGCTGAGCTGAGACCTGAGACAGCTCTAATCAATTTATCAAAGAGATAAAGCAAATGAGGATTTATTAAAACACACTGTTAGCAGTTTATGAACAGTCAACATCCAATTTTCAGCTCAAGTACGAGCCAGACATTTCCCAAGCTGTAAAATACATCTCTGTGGTTTATTTCTTACCTACAGAGGAGCCTCTGAGTTGG